AGTTCATCAAATTTTAACTTTTTCATCGATTATCATCAAGCGAAATTTGGAGATTTGAAGGAAAAATTTCACCATATAAACCAGTGCAAAAATGTAAATTTTTTGAAAAATTGTCCAATAACCTCAATTAACCAATGATGAAAGCAAGATATATAATCTCAGATTTACCCCAAACCTCCCTATTATGATAAGTATAGGATCTAAAGGATTAAAATGAATATTAAAGAGCTAATTTGCACATTAACTGCATTTATAATGTATGAAATGAGACATGGTTGCTCAATAAGACTACTAGCTTATCTTTGTGTTTGGGTTTCATGGTAAACATTGGTCATACCCTGCAAGGGGCCACTCGACTGAAAGTTGCATACCTTAAAGAAAATTATAATATAATTAGGGGTCAATATTTGGTCTGGCATGTTACACATTTAGGGGTATAAATTGTTGTGTTCAAATATATAATTTGCTCCTGTTAAAACTCTTTAGGGAAAGATAAAAAAAAATCTTTTTCAAACTTCCTAACAGCAGAAATCAGAGGCCACCACTAATCCATGATTTGAGATTTTGAGATTAAATTAAATCAAGTAAATTTCAATGCTATAAAGTTAAATTAAATTATTTAATAAAACTCAATTGCAACTCTATATAGGGTTGTGTTTTAATTATTAAGTTGAATTAAATTCAAGTAGTAGTAGAAATAACATGTTACAAATTTGAACTTTGTTTATAATGGTTTGCAAAGCTTAGGGTTAAAGTAAAGGGTATACAATTTTCAAGGTAAGCACCCAAGTTTTAGTCGAGTGGCCCTCTTGGGGTTCATACATTATTTAAAGTTGACATTAAACTTGAATCGACGGCCAGATCTCACCTAATCATATGTTCCATCTTGTTACCATAGGAACTAGTTCAAAAGGTCATGAGGTTATTGGAGAGTCCATCAGTTGTCATCCGAGGCAAAGTATTCCTTGCTATTCAAGAAATTATTAAAAATAACACTGAAATGCTGCTGATTTGCTGCCAGTCAAGGTAGGAATATAATTGTGTGATGTGTGATTGGTTCATTTGTGTTGATTAGCAATAATACAGTACCTTATAACAATGCATGATAATATCACATGACTTATATACTTCTCTTTATTGGCTGTTCCTTTTTTCAGGCCAAATACATTTTTTCATTTTGGTTTGATAATCCTATTCTACCTTACATATATTGCCTACTCTAAATCTTTTTTTTTTGGACAAACATGAAAATACGGTGCAAAGTTAGAAAATATTTTAATGTCTGATTGATTATTGAATGGAAACCATAACAGTAACTGTAAATACATACATATTTCTGAGAAAAATGTGAAAACAAGTTTACAAGCACAATTATGCTGGAATTTGATGATTCATCACTCCTTTTGTAAGCTATGCAAAAATATCTCAAACTGATTTGATAAGTAAATATAATACAATATAATTTAAAATACAAATTAAATTAAATTAATTAGAAAATAAAAATATAGTTTATTGTAAAAAGTACTTGGGTATGAACATTTAGTGTGGAATATTATGATACAGATCTGTCAAAAATCTGTTACTGGTAAGTACGTTTTACCATATTGAATTGCATGCATTCTGATAAAGTGTCAGTGACACAACCACACATGTCTGCTTAAGATGGGAATGGTATAAATTTCCTTCTTTCCAAAGAACATGAAAATTATCATTTGTTTTTCGACCTTACATGAGAATAACAGAAATATTACTCACAAATATGCATGACTGCATGCAGTCACATGACTGACATTCTTCTCTTTGATTGGTTGATTTGTGATAGGCAGTTCGGTGTCTGAATGGATAATGTTTTTTTTTTTCACTGATTAGATTGGTAATGTATATGGAACGGGACAGCAGAAAACAGAATTCTTCTAAAGTTGACAATCAGGCAATGTCGGACTACCTTTTAAAATGTTTGGATATGCTGAATAATTACATCATTCAAGCTTTACCTCAAATATCAAGTAAGTACCAGTCACTATTATTAGACCCTGTCAGACATAGTCCTATATGGAGACTTTTTTTTGCGTGAGGTTGTCTGTCCACTCATAATTTCCCTTCGACTGTACCTGACATCATTTCTGACCCCAGTTTGTTTGATGTTGGTCGACAAGTAATACTGACTGGCATACATGTGCATGTTGATTTTTTTATATTTGATGGGCCTATAAAATTCACATTTGAACATATCATCATGTCTTTTCCATGTATGTATTGATCCATTTAATTCAAACTTATTACTCATACTGATTTTATCTAAACTGGTGGCCATTTTTTGTTTTTTCACAAGTTTATTACACGTTTTATGCGATTTACTTTCAAAGATTTTGTTTTAAATTTGTATAAATGCGAGACAAACGTATCTTTTTACCATCTCATCAACCATTTCTTCCTGTATTCAAATATGTTACAAATATCACACAAACTGGGTTAGTGATGCACATCATGTTGTTTTATTGATCAAGGCACCTATCAATACATCTACACCCCCCCCCAATAAGTTCAGACCATTGGGCATATATCAGGACATCATCTGCTGAAGGTCTTGCCAAAATTAATGGAAATAAATCAGCAGGAAATGTATTAATACAAGTACAAAAATATAAAGCTAGCATAGAGGGGTCCAAATAAATTCTACAATGTTGAAACTATAAATTTTATTAATGATATTGGGAAGACCACTGAGACCCCAGTTATGGAGAAAAATAATTCTGTGCTCAAAAATGAATACCAAACCACATGATCGATCACAAATGTATTGCAACAGATCACATTAGCTCCTGCCAACATAAAAAATTTGAAACCATTCTGTTCAGCGGTTCTCTCAAACAAGCTCCGTTCATATGATTACATTGCAGCTTCATCCCTTGATGATGAATTTAATGCCTGTGTCATGTTGAAAAATTTAGTTAATGCACAGTATGTTTCATTTTTATAGGTGATGCGATTGAAGCCCTCAATGCTGTCTTAGGGAGAAAACATCCATCTACTGTGCAAGCTAAGCAGTTGAAGACATATCTGCCACTACTTCCCATACAATTACATCTTGTTACAAGCCAGGTACTGTCACTGTCCTAAAGTTGTATTATCCACTAAAAATTAAAAAAAAAGTTTTTAACATATGTAGTAAAATGAGTCATGAATCAAAATTATTAAAACATTGGCGTTTGCCCATTATATTTTCAGTAACTGATTTTTTAAAATTTTTTTTCAACATTCAGTACTGTTATGCAACATAATTTTGAATCCTACTTCAGAGCACGCTTAACATACCTAACCTAAGAAGTATGAAATGTCCCATGTTTGTTTCCATGTCTCATTTAAAGTTTATTGCAATTGGTAATTGGCCCACACTACTTCATACGCCAGTGCATGGCTATACAAACAAAATATGTCCAATGATACAATTTTATCCCCCTGGGCCCTGTGTTTCGTATTTTGTGAAAACTTGTCACTCAACAAAATGAAGCAGCTTAAAAAAAACGAAAAAACTATACACAGTTATGTCTAATAAATTCTTCATGAAATTTTAAAATACTAGATGAAGATATTTTAATTTATATTTTATATTTCAGCTCATAAATCTGAACAACGTAATCAGCGATTTATCATCTCAATGTTTTTCGTTTCAGATATTTCGTCCTCGCATTATTAATGAAGGGTTCATGACAGATATTGGTGTGCTGCTTTCCCATTTGAAATCAATTGACAGTGGTGAAACAAGTATAGAGTCAGCCATTGGTAAGTAAATATGGCTAATATTACAGTTAACATGTACATGTATGTAACATGTTACAGTAATACATGCTTTATCCATCATGCCAAGCGTCTTCACCCTATGAATCTGCAGCTACCACATCAATTGTTGTGTGCATGGTTATGGTTATGACAAGATGGTTACCCAAATCTGCCATGTAGTTACAAATATGGAATATGATTTTCTGTGGCAAAATATAATTTGTACATGGTCTGTTCTTGCAATTTGTACATTCAATGATGTGAAGAGTCACTACATGACTGTAATTACTATATATCATTTAATTATAATCTCTTTTTCACCACCAAACTTTCTTGTCCAAATTTTGCCTTCACTTTCTTGTCAGATTCTTCAATATTTCTGGAAATGAACTCTAATTTTGAAGCAAACAGACAAAATTTGGTTCAATTTTTCAGTTTCTATTCAAAAAATTTGGCTTTTTTTTTTGTCCCGATCTTCTGAAGGAAAATGCAGACTATAAAAAGGTCCATTTTATGAATTTCTGATGGAAAGAGGGAACTGGTGGTGAAAATGAAAAAGTTAAAGTACAAGCCTACACTATGTATTTATGAGTATTTACAGTTTTGTGAGAAAGTTGGTTATATATCACTTGACTGTGTGTTTATTGGGCTGTTAGTTACATAAAACAGGATACTTGTGTGTTATATAACACTGTGTTGTAAGGAAATTGCTCATATCTTATTCAACAATTTCCATTTTCATAATTTTTCCATAGTACACAATGTTGAAGCAAAACAGCATTTTTGATCACTTTTTATATCCAGATATAATTTAGGATAACACAAAATACCTCATCACTCTAGATATTGAGCCCATCCTTCAATTTGAAATCTGCACAATTAATACTGATGAAATGGCCATCACTCACTAAAATATAACCATAATTTTCTTATAAAATAGACTCATTGAGCCCATCCATCAATTTGAAATCTGCACAATAAATACTGATGAAATGGTCATCACTCACTAAAATATAACCATAATTTTCTTATAAAATAGACTCATTGACCAAGACAATCAACATTCTCATATTGGCCAAAGTACAGCATTATAATTTGTTTGTATTTTTATTTATCAGTTGGCTTCTACTAACCTTAAATATTCAATATCATATTATTTTTTCTCTTCAAGATAAATTTCAGAAGACACCAATATACTATCAACTTTCTAAAGTTATACCCTGCTCAATTTTATGTACTTCCTGTTTGAATTTGAGACTTTTTTAAATATAAACTCCAAACAATAGTCAATCATAGGTTACTGTGATGTGTTGACTCAGGAACACATGAAACATCGAAGAAACCAGAGAGCTCTCAAGTTTAACTTCTTGTTTATTCCACCATTTTCAGTTACACCAACGGCACTACTTTTTGCATATCAATACACTCGGGTGATCAGGTGACATATCACCATTACAAAAGTATGTATTTTGATGCATGCAATAAAGTACTCCCAAAAACGTCACAGTTACATATAACGTGCGATATTGACTGGTTTTATTATCTTGTATTTCTAGGTGCAGTAGGCACAGATGATTTTATCAACACGACATTATCAATTGTGGAAGCAGTGACTCAACACCCTAACATATTAATGGAGTATCACGCTGTTGTAGCTGAGACAATTTTGCCTCCCTTGGCAGCTCTCGTTACAAGTGACAATGGTATGTATGGTTTTTATGCAAAAGTGTGTTCAGACCAAATTGAATCATTTCCGTACACACAACTAGAGTACAATTTAAAACTGTTCAGATTTAAACGCAGAATGCAGATGAACCCATTTTCAAATGGCATCTATGGATGAATGAAATAATTGGATGAAATATGAAAGTGGTGAGTTAATGAGTCCTACAGGTAATCTACATTTGAACACAGTAAATTATTATTTGATCACAAACATACAATGCAAAATTTGAGCATCTTTATTTCCGGGACTTTTCATATGCAAATGAGTGATCAAAATCATAGCAAACACTGCTGACAATGTTCCTAGGAATTTTGCAACGTTATGAAGGAGATTGATAAGAACTTACCCGTTTTCTTGATTAGTTTATTTTGACACTCGCTGTGAGTGTCATTTTTTTTTCAACTTTTAATAATTAACCAATAGGATATAAAAATTAAAAATAAATTGTCAATAGACAATTTTCTTGAACTCTACGAAATTTAAAGGAGTCATCACTTGTGCATGCAGCGGATAGTCGTAGTGGGTCATTGTTTACAAACCAGTATCTACCCATGTATCTTGCGTGCATTGTTATCATCCCTTGGGGCTCAATTTCTGTGTGTGTATCTCGACAAAGTTTGTTTTCTTTGTTTCCAGAAATCTGGCCTAGAAACAGTTGATATAATGATCTGAATCATATCTTTCCTAAATTCAAATTTTATAATACTTCATTCTATAGAAATTTCTCTTAATAAAAGTGTATTATTTTGTTTTCTCATCATATGGCATGGCGAATCGTGACTTTTGGGGTTGCAGAGCTTGAACTTTGGAATTGGGAGGGCACTCTTTTTTGAGGCAAAACATTTTGAAAGTTAATGTTTTGGTCTCATTGTGTAGTACCAAGGTAGTCAGATGTAGGATACTAAGGTAGTCAGGAAGGGTACCAAGGCAGTTAGTTAGGGCACCGAGGCAGTCAGGAAGGGCATCAAGGTAGTCAGGTAGGGACATTAAGGCAGTCATATAGGGCATTGAGGCAGTCATGTAGGGACATTAAGGCAGTCATATAGGGCATTAAGGCAGTCATGTAGGGACATTAAGGCAGTCATATAGGGCATTAAGGCAGTCATGTAGGGACATTAAGGCAGTCATATAGGGCATTAAGGCAGTCATGTAGGGACATTAAGGCAGTCATATAGGGCATTAAGGCAGTCATGTAGGGACATTAAGGCAGTCATATAGGGCATTGAGGCAGTCATGTAGGGACATTAAGGCAGTCATATAGGGACATTAAGGCAGTCATGTAGGGACATTAAGGCAGTCATATAGGGACATTAAGGCAGTCATATAGGGCATTGAGGCAGTCATGTAGGGACATTAAGGCAGTCATGTAGGGACATTAAGGCAGTCATATAGGGACATTAAGGCAGTCATATAGGGCATTGAGGCAGTCATGTAGGGCATCGAGGCAGTCATGTAGGGCATTGATCGAGGCAATCATGTAGGGCACTGAGGCAGTCTAGTAGGGCACCAAGGCAATTGCTTTCATGACCTCCTGGGGTTGTCAACAACAGCCAGATTGGCCCATTATTGAGAAATTACAAGTACAATCTTTTCACATTCTTTCAGGTGACACAAGAGCTTTATGCTTACGCCTCTTTTCTGAGATTACGTCGTTGTTTTTAACCCATGAGAACCTAGCACAGGAGACGACAATCACTAACACTAGAATCGTGGATGAGATCATTGGCAAACAGCTTCTACCTCAGTATGAACAGATACTGTTGGATCAAGATCCCCTTCCTTCATACGGTTTGAAGTTGCTCCTGGCATTGATTGAAAGAAGTCCGTCATACATCAGGTTGGGTTCATCTCTTTTCTTGACTTACCTTTAGTTTAGTTGTTTTCAGTGTTAAAATACCTTTCCTATTGATGACAAGGTCTGTTTGAACATGGAAGGTGAAACAAAGTACATTTAGAGCATTTATATTTATTGTTTTTTAGAGAATTTTTTGTTGTTTTAACAACCCAACCCAACAAAGTTGTCTTGGTAAATGCTCATCCATCGGTACATTACAGTCCCTTGTACACTACTATTTGTAGCATGTGGATGTACTTTAATTTTATCATCAAATCTGACCATCATCAAATCTGACATTACTTTTTAAGCACAGAAATATCCCAAAAATACAATTGTTTGTCACATCCCAGACGAAGTTTTGATGTCACTACGACGCTCTGTCCTTTGCTTGTCATATTTTATGTAAAATTTCACGAATAACATGGGATCTTGCAGTAAACAGAAAATGGTTCATTTCATTCTGTTTTTAATATCACTAAATACAACAATTTCTGTTTAATCTACAACAGAGATATTCAAGACCTCAATCTGGTTCCAGTGTTATTTCAAGTATTAGTTGATCATCAAAACATCCCTACATCCAGCGCAATGAAGAACATCTTAGCAATACTACAAACTATGGTTTTACATAAGGAAACAAACATGAGGTTATTGTATGAACAAGGTAACATTTACTCCTAGTGTCATGTATGTATGCATATAATGAATTGCTTGACACTATTTGTGCATATGTGCAGGCCATATATTAATGATTGCATGGTTTCATGTTATTAAATATGCCATATATGGAAATGAATGCATGGTTTCATGTTATTGAATATGTGTATATGGAAATAATTGCATGGTTTCATGTTATTAAATATGCCATATATGGAAATGAATGCATGGTTTCATATTATTGAATATGCCATACATGGAAATGAATGCATGGTTTGATGTTATTAAATATGCCATATATTGAAATGAATGCATGGTTTCATATTATTGAATATGTGTATATGGAAATGAATGCATGGTTTCATGTTATTAAATATGCCATATATGGAAATGAATGCATGGTTTCATATTATTGAATATGCCATATATGGAAATGAATGCATGGTTTGATGTTATTAAATATGCCATATATTGAAATGAATGCATGGTTTCATATTATTGAATATGTGTATATGGAAAGGAATGCATGGTTTCATGTTATTAAATATGCCATATATGGAAATGAATGCATGGTTTCATGTTATTAAATATGCCATATATGGAAATGAATGCATGGTTTCATGTTATTAAATATGCCATATATGGAAATGAATGCATGGTTTCATGTTATTAAATATGCCATATATGGAAATGAATGCATGGTTTCATGTTATTGAATATGCCATATATGGAGATGAATGCATGGTTTCATATTATTCAATATGCCATATATTGAAATAAATGCATGGTTTCATTTTATTGAATATGCCATGTATGGAAATAAATGCATGGTTAAATCTTACTAAATATGCTATATATTTAAGTAAACGCATGGTTTAAGTTACCTAATATGCCATATATGGAATTAAATGCATGGTTTCAAATTAGTGAATATGCCATATATTGAAATGAAATGTTTAATGTTTTGTACTGAATATGCCATATATGAAAATATATACATGGTTTAAATTTAGTGAATATGATGTATGCAAATAAATATAACTGCATTAATAAGTTTAATTCATAATTTTCTATCCAGGTTTGGTGGACCATCTCTGCAATGTATTTTCCCAGGCACATAAACTGTATATCGACCTGGATGATAAAACTGACAACCGAGCTGTGACAGCGCTGCTGACAACACTACTTGATTTATTACTTGCTGTCCTCAAGCATGTCTCCAATATCGTCAGACTTGTATTACAGGTAAAATGTTAGCAATTGTACACCACAGTGTATGAACAACACAGCTAGTGTATGTCCCCCTGTAGACCAATGAAATGGCTATAAGTGGGAATTACTGTTAATTCTTCACCGCTTGGTACGGGTACCTGGTGCCAACTAAATTTGTCAAGTCTCCATTGTCAAACATTTTCTTCACATTTTCAGTAACATTTTAATGATATGTGCAACTATTGTCCAGATGCTCATTTCCTTCTATTCAAATTCAAGATTGCATGGCTTCAAAGTGTTACAATTATTTATCTGTGACAAGCCCCGCCTCAATGAATGTTGTTTTGAGACTGTCCTATAGAAGGAATAGGGGGTATAGCATAACAGTAAATGTTGTAACAGTAATTGCTCAAGTTGTCAAATTTATAAATTGTGTTTCAAAATATTTATATTAAAAAAACATCTATTCAGCATTTGTAGCAAAATTTATGTTGCACGTTTGGATAATTTCTTTAGCTTTATTGGGGGTCTGTTTCAAGACTACCAGGTGACATATTTTATAGTCTTAATTTGGGAAACAATTTCAATAATTTTCAATAATTATCTGATGATTAAGGAATGTTTTGGTCTACTATTTGATTGTTTGTTCGAATTTTATTAGCATGCTTATTAGTGTTCCTACAAACCACATTATCCGCAATTCATATATATATATATATATATATATATATCTATGGTTCGGACCTTTTCTATTCTGTTATTTACTCAAGATGAGCCCTGTGATGTTGCAATACTGAAGCAATCCATATTTCTTTTGAGTAGTAGTTTTAGAAACATCAAACATATGATCGTCAAGTCGTGAAACCTGGTCATTGAACATCGTTTTACTTTTCCGAATAATCGTGTACATTGAGACTATCGTGAATTGGATGTGAACGAGCAAACTATTCTTTGACATGACTTGTTGGCGACCGTGAAAAGTTTAAATACATCCTCCACCCTCAGTTTACCTTTTGAAAATTGAGTATCAACAGCTTTAGGGAAAAATCACCGTTTTTTGTCGAAATCAGATTGCATTTTAACATCGCGGAATTCACTTCCGCATTGCGTTGAAAAAATGACTTCGTCAATAATCAAAAAACTTCGTCTGTACGACACAGCATTTTGATTGGTTAACGAAAGACGTGACCTGTTAGGTCAAAGGAAGTTGTTCAGGTCAAATCATGATGAAAAACACCATGGTGGAAATTTCATTGTATCGAGAGTTTGCGTAAGATCGAAAATATTCCACAACGAAGATATTAACAATAAAGTTTTGCTTTCGACTGTTTTCCCACAGACCCTACCCATTTTTGCACCGTAAATTCCGACGGTATGTAAACCGTATTGTAATAAAACCTGTGTATTTTTATGAACATGTTTGTTTCTTCATTTTAAAAAGTGTCGTCAAAATCAAAAAGACGTAATATTTCTCCGAGGCCGGCGCTGTGAACGAAAAATGTTATTTGGATTTTTCGTGGTTTGGAAGATGGTTACAATTTTAAACCCCTCAAAAAATTATCTTTTCTGAGGTGGTCCTCGAGTATAAGCCCACCCCCTAATTTTCCCGATTTTACATGCTCAGGCCCCTGGGCTTATACTCGGGGAAGTACGGTATATATATTTGTGGCAAACAATATTTCACATTAAAGTACCAAAACTGCAATTTAAATATGGGAGTAATTTCAGAGTGCAATTTATGGTATACATTATATCTACTATATAGGGATAATGAAAGGAGACTATTTTTTTTTCTTGCAGACAAAAAAAGGAGGGGGTGAGGCTGATACACAAGGAGCGGAAAGTTTGTTACTGACTAATAAGCCATTTGTTGAGCTCACCAGTCAACTTGTGCATTTGGTAAGATTACTTTTTTGTTGAGGTCAGATCAGGTCAAGATAGGTCAAGTTAAAATCAAAATCAGGTCAACAGTCAACTGTGGTGTCTGTTTATCATATGTCTTTGTAAACAAAATCTCCAAAATGGCAGCAGAAGTACCGTTGGATAATGTGCGCAGATATGATAAGTTTTTAGGACCTTGTCTGTGTCATCTTCCCCCACTGTTATGGAGTTTGATTCTTCAGATATGTTTATAACATCGATCATTACTTATATTCTGTATTCACACAGAACCCATGTTGAGTTTAACTTTGATCTTGATTGCAAGGGATCAAATTATATGAAGGAATGTCAAAACATATACTGTAATTGGAATTTGAATGGTGCTCAGTGTCTGTAATACTCAAGGAAAGGAATTGGCACTTCAAATGATTTGAAAAAAAAACGATGAATTGCATTAATTTGAGTTATGGTATCATTACTTCATAAATATGCATGAGGCCATTTGATTCAAACAAAAAAACATAGTTATCAACAACTAGAATAGTGTTTTGTCTTTGAAATTATATTGCAACGTTTCTGTTCAGTAGTAAACTATCCTAGGGTTCATGACAGTTCATTTAAAATGCACAACAGAGTAATGCATTTAAGATTGAACATATCTCCATGGTCTGTGCATGTTGTTGTATTAATTTGTATGCACTAAACAACTTTCCATAGTTGCTTCGACATATCATAATCATGAACAGCACAATATCACACTGGAGCCACTGTTCTACTTTGAATATTTTTTCTATTAATACAGCTTTGTCATGAAGATAGTGAAATCCAAAGCCATGCCTGCAATGCCTTGTCACTGATGGCTCAGTTGTTTGGTGGTGAACACAATGATATTATGACTGTAGATAGCATGGAGTGTTTATCTCATGCCTTGCCTAAGTTTGACACCAAGAAACAGAAACTACTTCTCCGAGTCATCAAAAGAGCTGTAAGTGACTCATCATTTGCTGATACTTAATTTTCTTTTCTAGTTTACTTTTCAGAAGTTACAAATCTGCCTTCAATGACACTTAGATAGCTCAGTAATCTTCTCACACAAATATTAGTGCAGTTGTCTTATCTTAATGGCAATATATAGTTAATGCTGTTCCTGCATAAGTTAAACATATAACCACCCCCTAGTAACAGTAGCATTAGTTAATGGATAAATCGTGACCTAACACATTCTCTGCTGAAAACCTCCACTGATGGCCTATGAACGGGAAGAAACAGTGTTTTGTAAAGAAAGATTCAGGTTGTATTCAAGTGTTGCATTTGGACTTTGGCTAAACTGATCATACGTCTTGTCCAATAGGTGATGCATTACCTTTTTCCCATTTCAGACCACTGTATTAATTTACTCTATCTATGGTAGTTGTGCATGTATATACATGACTGATGTACTTATATGGTCAAAATAAGTTATATCTTAATGATCCAGCAATATAATAAAAGCACTTTTCCAATGCAGAAGCACTTCTCATTGAGCAAATACAGTATATGGTTTATGTTATCATAGAAAATGATGTAAACTGTTTATTCAGCTGATTTGGTTCTATTTTTGGAATGTTTGGAAAGTCTGGAAATAGCTTGTTTTTGTATTCATCTAAGTAGATCTAATGAATATATATATATAATATGCAAAACCCACTAGAACTAAATGTAATGAAACTTGATAAAAAAAGTTTTGAAAATTGATATTGAACCCTGGAGCCCTGGAAGTGGTTATGGTCTTTTCTTTCTTGTCAGTGGTTTACATCTGAGCAGTTTCCAAACTATTTATTTTGCAGGTGACTGCTGATAAACACAACGCCACAATGTTGAAGGAGAAAGGCCATGTGCTGATAGACACTATCAAAACCTTAGCACAGACAGCTAGTTCCCATGCTGATGTTGCTGTCTCTTCTCTGGCTGCGGACATTTTGAAGTTAGTTGGTATCAAGATGTAACCTTAACATTGCATCAGAACCGATATTTAAAAGGTGTGATGATCAATTACAGTGAATCAAAACAGGAAAAACAGACTTCCTTAGAACTAAAAGTGTTAGTTTATAAGGTCACAGCTACACCCCAATTGGATTCTTTTTATTTTCCTAATGGAGAATGTCAACAGTAATGATGTATATTTTTGAATTATAGAATTAATGTAGACTATCAATGTGAATGTTGTCGCATGGTTTGAGAGTTATATTGATCTATACAAGCAACCAACATTTGAGCACTAGCACACAAGTTAAGCACAAATAAGCCAATCACATAATGTTACTCATCTCAGTGTACAAACGCAGGTGGCTGCTGCTCAACCAATCACGTCACATCATTGCACTACCAGTTGTTATATCATTACCCATTGAAAGAGCGGCATCAAAATTTAACATACATAATTGGAACTTGATTTGCTGTGTATTTCAACTATTGTTTTGGTGTCATCATCTTCTGTCCCTCATGATAATTATATTTCTGTAGTAGCAAGCAAGTGTTGTTTAATTTGTTTACCTACCCCGTTGAGGTTAATAATGCATCCCTTATTCACAGTTGACAATTTTTTTTTTCATTGGTAAAATATAATATGATAATTGCCTTTTATTCTATTTTGATGCTGTGTTTCATGTAAAATGTTTACATTCACTATACTGTAGAATACTTTATTTTCGCTTGGAATTTATTTTCGCTATTTTCGCTGAAGGGATGATTCCGTGAAAATAAAATCCAGCAAATATACTTTTTTTCCTATATTTCACATTAAACTCATCAAAAATCAGTGAAAATAAATTCCATACAAAACGCCCAAAAAGCCTTTTCAGCGAAAATTAATTCTAGCGAAAATAAAGTATTCCACAGTATTGTATTTTGCATGTTTTGCTCAGCTATTGCCCACACAGCTTCTGTAAAATACACATCGTATTTGTTTTTATAATGTATAATATTAGAAAGTTCTAATCTCAAAATGAAAATGTTGATCACCACTTGCCTGTGTTATGTGAACTGGCTGCATTAAGCTATGATGTTTCATGTTATCTCGCAACCAGAAGAGATATTTATTGCCTTCAAGTTTATTTTGTGTATATATTTTTGCAAATGAAAACATCAGACTTAATTATGATAAACATTATGCTATGCAGTAAAACCTTTTTTTTTGTTGAATCTTGTCTATGATGTGAACAGGTGGTAACTGACAGAGGAACTGGTAATTTCTGACTAGCCAGTCACTACCACTATTTGATTATGTTATTGACTTATAATATATAGAAATTCAAACCCGAAGCTGAAGAGGCTGTAGGCATCACTGTCCTATCCTCACACACACACAAACAGGATAGTGTATGACCATTTGTGACAGGTTACACCTTTCTCCCAGGAATAGTGAAAGCTGCGTTTGTCATGAAAACACTTTACTTCAAATAATTGTTTGACCACTAAATAATTACAAAAAGTCTATCAAAACAGAATAATCTCTATATGTATCACTTTCACACTATAATGGTGTTATATTCAGCCCTGCTGATAGAGCAGCCATAACATTTTCCCTATGATGGGATGCCAGCCACTATCGTCACATTTTATACAACATTAATTATTCTCCAATGTCTCAACGTCTAAAATGATTTTGCAAGATTTTTCACGTTCCACTCACGCAATACATTGAACGTTCATGAAGAAATTGCAAGCAAAACGCAAAAAGTCATGTGACACTCATGACCAAAATACCAAATCTTTCCCAGACTTGGAAACTAATAAGTAGTTGGGAAGCAGAATCTTCCGATTCAGACAATAATCAACATGCTATGCTACAGATTGAAACAAAAAGAAATAAAGCTGAATGCAGAAATTGAAAAAAGCAGCAGGAATCAAAAACGAAGACGGGAATTTCACTTTGGGTGATCTAAGATGTGATAAGGACACTAAAAAGCAGGTAAAAAAAATAAAAAAAGTTGAACATTGATTCAAGCACAAGTGATTTAGAAATCACCAGCTCAGGTGAAGTGGAGTACTTCACAGGCAAAGATCAATTCTATGCAGGTATAAATCTCCATTATAAAATGTCCCATCCTAAAAATAAGCAAAGAAAGATCAAGCGATCAAGTTTCATATGTTTATATGTTCAGCGCAATAGAGCTGCGATGGGTGAATTATTCATAATTTTCAACAAAGTGCCATGTCATCACAGGAAACCCAGAGCCAATCACATCTTACAACTGCTATTTTTTGCAGAAATTTACACATGGCAGGAGGTCAGACAATTTCACTGCAAAATCTTAACTGGTCTGGAGAGAAGTCATCTAATGTGGGACTCAGATTTTTTGCCCATTAAAGCACGTTGTCTACGCAACAGATTGCAAAGACCAACAATTTTCATCATCTAAGGCCAGCCCATGTTTTTTTATCCAAGCGAGCCACCCGGTTAAAGATTGCTCCCCTAAACTCAAACCTACAGAAGCATGACTGCCATATGGATATGAAACCCACACAATTCTCAATCAGATAACCTAATGCGCGAATGCACTCAATACATACTAAATGACGTCTATTATTACTCGCGCTCTGAGGTCCATGTACCTACAAATGTACTCCCTGCACAGGAAAACTTTGATACCACAATTAGCAACATCGCTGAATAACCTTACAAAGCCCACTATAGTGTTGACAATTATTAGTGCCAAGAACAAATGCACTTTTTTGCTGAGCTCGAAAATGGCTAAGCACTCTGTGACATGGCATGCAGTATATCTTGATGTTATCGAAAAGCGCACACTGAAGAAAACTCCTATGTTCAAACCTCTAATCTAATGCTTGATTATGTTTTGTTTAGTGACACGGTGCATCCCTAAACAAACTTCCACATAGTGAAAAATTTAATCAACTGTAAACAAAATGCAGTCATGTGTGTTCGTTGTAAAACCGCTGCATAGTAGAATATAACGTAGTAGAATGCGTCGGCAATTCTGATTGGAAGAGCGAAGCACTTAGTATGAATAGAATATAAAAACACACTTTGTTTGAGAGTGTTTCTATCATCCACGACTATTTGGTAACGTTTACAATAATTTAATAGCACAGTTACACCGTTTACAGCGCACTGTATTCACATAACATGTTATACTATATTTAGTCAGCAAGCCTATATTTAGATAAACACAAATCGGTTATGCGTGCAAATATAATATTGTGCTTATGAAATTGCATTTCTGATAATAAGCATTTACTGTTCGTCATAAAAGAAGATTAACAAAACCCGATGAGTACACGGTGAGTAGCATCTGAATACAGAACTAATTATAGTCGACAAAACAAATTTGATTTGAAATTGATAGAACGGAATGCATTAGACCAGGTTTTAGCTGTCTGCTTCAATCAAACCTATCAACATGGTGGATAAAATCATTCATCATGTCTTGTTTCATTGGCAATCATTCGTGTTTTGTTGTATTTTTTTTCTCATGTGATCAGCAATGAACACTCAAGGATACGATGTATCCTTTAATAAGCTTGCACACAGTAAGCAATTTAACCTTAACGCGTGTGCGCTTCCAAACCAATGTATAATAAATGTATGCGCCGATGTAACGGCAACTCTGATAACATAATTCACATACACTTTGTTCGAGAGTGTTTCTATAACCCACGACTACGCTTCCACGTTGTGAAGAAGTAAGCTACATAGTCATTTGTCGCACCGTTTACAGTGTAATGTATGCAAATTAGATAGTGTACTATATATAGTTTGTCAGAAAGCCCGTAACAATACTCGGTGATGCATGAATATAGATATTAGTCATATTGCAGACTGATAGTAAGCAGTATATACTGTTCTTCATATACAAGGATTCACTAAATTTGATGGGTGAGTAACATCTGAATGACGAATGCAAGATTAATAATGTTCGACTAAACAAATGCGACCACTTAAAACTGATAGGCTGGAATGCATTAAACCAGATTTTGGCTCACAGGTTTAACAAATTCTATCAGTATGGTCATTCATCATGTCTTATTTCATTGAAAATTATCCGTGTTGTGTTGTATCATTTTCTGACGGAAAAGGAATATAGAAAATCGTAGATTTTCAACTAAATACAAGGGAATCAACACTGTTATATCTGAATGCTAAAATATATTTACACAATAGTGTTATTTATAAATTGGTGCAATGCTTTACAGCTCAGCCAGTTCCGAGCTTTGATGGAAAGCGTTCGTCTCACTGATAATATCACCTTTTCCTTTGTGTTTTCTGTGCAGTATACCAAGAATATAAAGCCATTTGAGAGAATGGGGAAACATAAGATTTTATTGGCTGTTTTATATGTATTGATTCTTGGTTTCCATGTGGTTCATTGCGCAAATATACTCATCTATGGTATGCATGCTGCCGGAAGCCATACGCAAAATATAGCTTATGTAGGCGAAGCTCTAATCAGGCATGGTCACTCTGTTGATGTACTAACAGTCTCTTCAGATAAATTCATTCACCTGTATACTGAATTGGGTGTTCCAACTTTGGAACCAGTGATTATAAATTACGAAAATGAAGACATTCTCCCTCATTTTTTTGACAATAAACTGACCTATGGTGAAGCTTTTGAGAAGATGGTTGGGACAAATGCAGCGCAATGTGATGCAGTACTCCAACACAAGAAGCATCTTCGTGACACATTAAAACCTTACGACATTGCAGTCACAGATGCTGTTTGTCACTGTTGCGCGATGTTACTGAAATATATCGGTATTCCGTATGTACTGTTACATACAATGAAAGACGTGGGATACGCAACTGATGTTACTGCTCCTCTGTCGTACTATCCTATTGAAGAAACTACCATGATGCTAACAAACAAAATGACTTTTACGGACAGACTTCAAAACACATTAGCTTCATTGCTACTACCATCATACAAAGATATTAATATGGCTTTTTTGAGACTGTACCACAAACACAATATTACTCCAGGGATATATTCCTTTCAGCAGGCATCTCTGCATCTTCTAGTTAAAGACTTCACTATCGACTACGTTCACCCCTTAATCCCTAATGTGGTCCCAATTGGACTGCTGACTACCAGACCAGCAAACGGACTGCCTTCAGTAAGTACGACTACATGATTATATTAATGATTCATGTGAAATGTTAGCAGGTTTTAACGAAATACTAATTCGATACATTGAGGATATGAAATTGTTGCCATTGTGTCAACACAGGTGGCGCTATTCAGCGTGTTTTATGACGCATAACTAGCACCTGAAAGCTAAATATACATCCGCCACCATTATCCAAGTATTTTTCTTGTTTAAACACATTCTCTCCCAATTTTTAGCAAGATTTAATCTTTAATGAGTTGATAAATCAAGATAACGCACAACATTCATTACAATGTCTTTTTTTATTAACATTAAAATGCATGTAAATTGGGAGGTCAACGGTCTAATTTTCTCAATATTGGCATTGACGTTAGCATCGACACACATAGAGACATATCGCCGCAACCAACCCAATAGCGCCACCTGTGTTGACATAATGTGGAAATACGTCACAAGACGTTGCTAAGACGTTGCTAAGACGCGCACCACTGTACCACGTATTTCTATGGGCTCTGCCCGCGCTACTGAGTAACGTAGAACGCCTAGCGAAGAGCCGGTAACAATGCGAGAAAACAACAGCAACTCAACTTTGAAGTAATCCTGAACAATCAAATTTATATGCGTTACACACTGCGTTTTAATTTCTTCTGGAAAAGAGAGATGAAATCGAACTTTCAGTAGGTTTGTTCAGGCAGTAGTGAAGAATCCGTTAAAATCCACATCAATATCCTCTAGCTGTGAGCTATCTATCAATATTTAACAGATTAGTCAATGCATCGAAAGTGAGAAAATCTGCTGATAAATTTTGAAATTTAATATTGAAAATCGCTTTCAAACCTCACAATGAGCATTGGACTACACGAACACGTCAAGGAATGATGTTATCAGCTCTATTTACAAAAATACGCACATTTTGTGATGGCGTACTTTTATCTTAAAATCTTTATTGAGTATGATGCTAAATAACGACGCTTTGTATTTGTAAGTGGGCGATCAGCATAAAATAACCGTATTCATTTATTTATTTGGGTAGGTATGGTTGCATCTCTTTTATTTATGGGACTTTAAAATGAATGATTATTTTTCATTTGTAAAAATAAAAGTTATATGTATTTATCTTCGATTTATCATTTATACGATGTAAGGCATGCAAATTAATCTGTGTGTGTTTATCGTGGTACAAACCAATAATAATATACAATGGAATCTATTTAATTGTGTTCTAGGAATTGGAAGAATTCATGCACAGCTCGGGCAATGAGGGCGTCATAGTTGTATCACTTGGCACATGTATAAGATTTGTTCCAATTCAAACACTCGACATAATACTCTCGACACTTGCCAGATTTCCCCTCAAAATAGTATTCAGTTACAGTGGACCAACTCCTCCAGGTTTTCAGTGACAACATTAAGATTGTTAAATGGGTTAACCAAAATGATATTCTAGGTGAGTTGAAATGATGAACTAGACATTTGACTCTTTATTCAAGTTGTATACATGAGTAAAATGAGTAAAGGCGGTGGTATATTTGTGTGTTTCAATGTAATATGACAATCATCCATTGTATTCAGTTTTGTTGTGTGATAATCACTGAAAAGTTCCTCTTGTACAAGGGGCGTTCAATAAGTAATGCCCCGACTCACTTCTAGTTGTCTGATTTAGACTCACCACCTCCAAAATAAGGCAAGAGTGCAGCACTCCACTGGCAAGGTCAGGCTCACAGTCATCTGGGACCAGAACGAAGTAGTGATGACATGTTTCCTAGCTAAGGGTACCACAATTACAGGAGCTTATTACGCTTCACGTTTGATGAAATTAAAAGAAGCTATCAAAATAAAGAGGCGGGGCAAGATCAGCAAAGGTATCCTCCTCCTGCAGGACAACGCCCCGGTCCACAACTCGCATATACCAAGATCAGAAGCACGGGCGTGTGGCTATGAAATCCTCTCCCATCCCCCTTACGCCCCTGACCTTGCACCTTCCGACTTTCAGCTCTTCACAGACATGAAGTTGTTTTTGAAAGGAAAGCGTTTCCCAAATGATGCAGCCTTGATTTCTGAAGTTACGACGAGGTTTGAGGGTCAACCGGGGATGTTCTACAAAAAAGGTATCCAGAGCTGCATCAAACGATGGGAAAAATGCATAACTGGGTGGTTCTTATGTAGAGAAAGACTAATAACTGTGCCAAGTTTCATTAATCTTCTGCTATGGGAAATTGGTCAGGGGCATTACTTATTGAACGCCCCTCGTATGTACATATCGTACTACCACTTTATTTGAAATATTTGAAAATTCTGATTACATTGAACTGTGGTTATCACAAGACGGTGATGGTGATAGTGTATGATTTAAATCCAAACCAGTATTCCAACACAATACCAAGGACGCCAGAGACCAGCAAATCTTTAAATTACACATTAAGTTTAGTGTCAAATAAGTTTAGTGTACAATTCTGAATTAAATTCCTCAGGTCATCCAAAAACCCGTTTATTTTTAACTCATGGCGGAACTAGCAGTTATCGTGAAGCTATATATCATGGAGTTCCAATGGTATGCATTCCACTAATGTTTGATCAATACGATACCGCTGCTAAAATTATATCTAAAGGAGTTGGTTCATATGTCAAAATGAAGTCACTGAATAATGAGAACTTGTACGAAGCCATGGTGGAAGTGTTATCGAATAAGAAGTAAGTAATAATGGTACGTAGTATTGTATATGTTGTATTGTACAAAAGCTTTGGAATAGAATGTTTCCACGATGTTTAATGTACAGAGATCCAAGCGTATAGATTAAGTAAATTAACATTGATTCATAACCTATTTTTTCCAGATACAGCGAGAAAGCCAAGCAATTATCGGCCATCGTGAAAGATGTCCCAATGAATGCAACAGATACCGCAGTTTTCTGGATTGAACATGTATTACAACATGGTGTTACTCACTTGACATTTCACGAAAAACAACTTTCTGTTATCGAGTATTACTTGCTTGATGTACTGACCGTGATAGCTGGGACCATTTGTATTATATTCTGGTCATTACGCTGGTTTGTGGTCGTGTTAAAAAGAAGTGTGACAAATACTACGAAATACAAATAATTTTTCATAACCCTTCATAACTAAGCAATAATTATAATCAACATATAAATAAGTTGCATTGGCCGCAGGTCCACGACGATTTCATTTTGACTCAATATATGTATTTCCTTTATTTTATAAAATAGTACATTAATGTAATTGACTTTTTGAATTATGAATTACTGAATAAAATTAGTTGATTTTTCTCACTGGACCGAACCTACATATTGCTATAGGATTTCAATGAAACCAACATGACTGTGTAAAAACGTTGCAATTGTTTTTTGAAATATGAATTATAAGTACATATGGTAGTTGTATATGTGCCTGAGAGCACGTAAATGCCAATATTATTCTTGAATTGAGAAGTTGTCATAGTTCTTATTTTCAGTACACCGCTCTGTTATTAGCTCATTTGCATAACGATAAATACTGTCGTGATTGACACAGTTCCTCTGGTAGAAAACCACAATACGAAATGCTATAGGATGCAAACGATTTTGTATTCATTTAACCGGCCGGCCTGTAGTCTATTTTTATTTTCCTTGTCCACCATGAATAATCCTATTTGCATTACCTGGCTGTCATTATGGCTCAATGTAAATGTTAGGGAAAATAGGGACTAAGTTGTAAAAAACGACTAGAAAAATGGTAAATTTTATTGCAAATTTGATTGTTAATTTGATTGCAAATTGAAGGGAGTATCACTTAATTTGCATACCCTGGCTATGGATTAACATCTGTTTTAATTCTTATTGGGTGATTACGTACCTGACCGTCCAACCTTGAAGTTTAATTGTGAATGCAAGCAACGATACACCTGCAGACATTTCTTTGGGCATTCAGTTCTATTAATATTAATATTGCCAACTGTTTGGCCAGAACGCCCCCTGGCGTTTGTGGAAAATCTTAATTTGGAATGCTCTGATTGGATGCCCAGTTTGAGCCCAGAAAGGTGTGATAGATGTTAAATATGAACCACTAACTTGACAAGGAAGGGAAACTTATAATGCAGCAAGCTGTTTTAATAGTTGTTGTGATAGAGTTTATATATTGCCCTGTGCATTTATTAGTCCACTTATAAATCAAAATAATGTTTCCTTGTAACTAAGACTCTTATTTATCAAGACATTTTTTAAATCATGGGTGTTAACTCCCCCAATCGTGGGGAGTCCATCATAATCAACATCAGGAGTCAATTTATGAGGAAAATTGTACTTTGTATGATGCATGTGTGTACAGTTATAATCAGTGCTGGCATGTTAACGATGCAGCTGGAAATTCACACCTGTATATATACATGAAGATCAATTCCAGTTCCCGTTTTTGAACAGAACAATGAGCCATAAAAACCTACTATATATAATGCCCACATAAAGTTTGTTGTTATCTGCCCTTACACTGCTGGGAAATTAGTGTAACCATGACTATAACTGTACACTATGAACCTATGTCAAACTATAAGCCCCTACGTTGTGCTACACATAAACAGTAGTTATTATATTATCATATATAAATCATAAGGAACGAAGGTTTATGACTAAATCAAGTTTAATATTTTACAAGCAAACATTTTGTAGGATTTAAACACAACACACTGTGGTATTGCAAGAAGCAGTAATAATATTTTTGTCGCGTAGGTGTACAAGTGAACCTTGTTATTGTATATTTTACCAGGGTATTACTGTCAAACAACATACTATTTTATTTGCTCAATTACAGAATCAAAATATTTCCCAAAGTACTTAGCAAATTAGAATACAGCATGCTTGAAAATTAACAATACATTTTTACTCATCATCTCACTTATTTGAGAAATATTTAGAATTAAAATATTGACAATATTCATAATGATAATATGCTTTATTACAAAGTGACCAACACTGACAATGTACAAAAAAGAAATGTTATTTCCTTATTAAGATTTTTAGCTTGATGTTTATAAATTAGTATTAAACATTAAACTGTGCTGAAAATGTGTCTGAAAAGCTGTAATTCATTGGTCACGATTAAGTGTAAATCACAATATAGTTATAACCATACTATAATTCTTTTTGTTATAATCATACGAAACGTGTGTGGTACAGTTGTGTAATATTTTTCATCATTATCATTATAACACAATACACCATAAAGACACAAAATAATGAGAAAAAGTGGCGAAACAATAGCTAAAAAATCATAAATCATTATTACTAGCATTGAAGCCATTGATACCATATACTTTCATTTCTCTGTATAGTATTTCCAAGTTTCCTATAATAATAAAAACAAATATTTGTTAAAATATTTGTCACAAACGAGGCTTTTCTGTTTCTCTTATTTATCCCAGTACAGGACCGGATGGATTAATAATAATAAATAGAAATAGGTATAATTATCGTTAGTAAATGTCACATCAGTATTTAGTGCAGTGAGTGGGGGTCAGGGAATATACATGTATGTTAATAATATTCAGTCCTACCAGTCCTAAGTAACAAGAGGCCCATTGGTCATCAGTGCACAAAGGCAGGTCAGAGTTTCAGGGATTAATATAACTCACGCATAGTTATATGTATGAACAAATCCCATTGCTACATATAAGTTGAGTCAGGTCAGGTCAGCTCTTCTGAGATTATAGGTGACAAAAGTCCCACCAGGTCACCAAGAATTAGTAATACCCAGTATTAGTTACAGCTAGCAATAGTCTCATTGGTAGTTAGTGCACTAAGTCATGTCAGGTTCTCTGGGACTAATAATACCCTGTCTTATTTATAGGTAACCTGTGTCTCATTGGTCTGCAGTGCAATGACTCTGGCCTGGGTCTCATGATTAATAAATAGCCCCATTGGTACATGTAGTTAGTGCAGTGAGTCAGGTCAGATTCCCTGGAATTAAGAATAAACAGTTCTAGTTATAGGTAACAAAAATTCAATTGGTAGTGAGTTCAAAAAGTCAGGTCAGATTTTTGGGAAATAACAATAAGAAGGCATGACTGACACAGTCCCCATTCGTTATATTCGTTATATAGTTTTGTTTATTGTAATATAGTACCAGTACTTGTCTGTCCATATTGAGAGATATTGCTCTGGAACAGCATTAATTAAAAAAAATGGCTACCGGTCGGCCATTTTGAATCAGATCGTCAAATCGTCAATCTATGACATGATGTATAATGAATATATTAAATTTGAACATCAGTCAAAGCATGTCAGAGATATAGCTCTAGAATCGCATTCATTAAAACAAAATGGCAACCAGTAAGCCATTTTAAATCCGATCCTAAAAACAAAACAAACGTGCATAAGTAACCCATAATGTTTAATGTATGTACCAAGTTTAAACGAAATCCATCCGTAAACGACCAAGATTCAATTCCGAAATGCCAGAAATGCTTGGTTTTTCATGATTTTTAGCACAAAAATGGCCACCATTCAGCCGTTTGAATCGGGTCGCCATGAATATTTAAAATTTGAACATAATCAGTCAAAGCCACAACATGGCCGCCACAAGGTTCCGTTACGTTCAATGTATATACCAAGTTTGAACAAAATCCAACTGTAAACAGTCGGGAAATGCTTGATTTTGATGATTTGTCATTACAAAAATGGCCGCCATTCATTATTTAGCTGTCATGCAGAGGATATGCCGTTTCACATTTTTTGGTTACGTAATACAGCAAAATTTAAGTATTTCTTGCGATTATTGTATGGATATAGGAATTCAATGTGCAATCCAATATACCTACTATATATATAATCATTGAGTTGTGCATGAATATAACAAAATAGAGTTAAAAATGTATGGAGAAAAATCAATTTGTCTACCAGATCACAAGATTGCCTAGGAACTTGTTTATATAACACTCTTTATTTATGTTGCATCCTTATTCGGGTCCTGATAAAATTAAACAAATGAATGCTAAAATGATATTGTTCACAATATCGCTAGCCCAAATTTACAGCAGGATAAAGAATAATGTAGAACTTGTGTAAGTCAACACTTGTCATTATTGTCACACATTGAAGCAGCAATTTTATTTTAAGGCTTAATGTGATGTGAAACATCCATTTCAGTTTAAATATTCTTAGCCTGTAGCTATTATTAATTCCCTGCCCTTTCATACGTTTCAACAAACTTGTCACCACCACTGTCAGTACCATAGAAAAATACCACAGAAATACGTACTATTATGGACCTGTCATATCTAAATGCACATTCTGTAAATGACGGCATTTAGATTAATGAATATTTAGATTACCCTTATAAGTTCTCGTATCTGTCAATAGATTAGTTCATGGTAATTATCAATCATTATGATCCAGGATGCCACATATATAGTGTGATATTCGTCTCTGCTATCTGCTATCGATGGATAAGTAGATATTCACAATTATCATTATTTGAGATCAGGCGCAATATTTCCTACTTTGACACCAAACTTCCATTCGGCCTATGTACAGCCTCAATTGATTGTGAAAGTGCAACCTACGATTCATATATATATATAAAAAAACAAGACTACGAAACTATTAACTACATCAACGACTTTGCAGGAGATAACCAGCCAGGCTGTGCGCAATCACAATGATATACTAAGGGCCGGCGTATTTACACACAGTGGCCAAAACACGACAACGTCACGACAATGTGCCTATTATTGCTCTTTCTAGACTACCTACCCAGTCATATCTTTAGTAAGAGCCTATTGCAACATGATTCGTATCGTCAAAGCCCCTTTCTCTGCACCAGCCTTTATCTACCACCAGGCAGGCAAACTGACAACACTAACACACACCTCATTTAAAGGGGGAGCGTCGTCGCCTGCGCACGCGCGGGAATTGAGTCCCAAGCGATGATGAAAACACATATTAAAACGCAAATGCTCATGGGTAGACGCTTTTTTGTCAACAATGACAAGCTATGGCCATCTGACGCATGCGCAGGCGTAGATACCACCGCTTTAACAGCAAGTTTAAAAAACTGCTATCAGCATAGCAGTATTCAACACATAGTCTCCACAGGGATGGGGTAACATTCGCTGCTACTTCACGTGTCACAGGTCACTTAATTCAAGCACAAGGAGAGATATTGGAAGTCAATGTTTTACAAAGATTACATCACTATTCCCCCAATCATCGTTTATATTTCAAACAACCTAATGGGAAAATATTAAGTATTTATTCATTGAGCAGGGCGCCCTCTGGAGTTCAGTTTATTTTTATATGTTTTCTCGAATAGTGCCTCCCAGTGGATTTGTTCAGCAACAGTCAGCCATTTTTTGTTTAGCCCTAGCTCTCGTCAGTCAGTTCTGATGTTCCATAACACGAATTATCCTCACCGACCCAATATTTAGCTTATTCTGTGTTTTGTGATACAGTCTTCACTTTACCCTCATGCAATTTTCTTTCTGTTCTGTTTCACCCTGGTTTACTCTTTTATTACACTTTGATGAAATGATTGTGTTTCAGTGTGTTCCGTAATGAAACTATCTGTGCTAAACAGGTGTTGCATTTTTGTTGTTGTTGTTGTTGTTGTTTTAGCAGTAGCAAATACTATGCAAAATCACCATGCAAATCAATATATAAAATATTTATTCACTGTGAGGTCGCTGTGTTGAAATGGACACCCAAACAAGAGAAAACACAAATATTCAAAATACAGTCCCTTTCCATTGCTCGATCTAATTTGTTTTCATGCAATGTTTATAGCTGTTCAATTGCACATAATTCTCAACATAAAACAGCACTATTTCTAAAAATAACTTCATACAGATTCAAACTGAACTGGAAACAGCAATTCATTATACCACACTGCACATCGGAACGAGTTTCTATTTGCACCCCATTCCTATCCCTCGCCAAAATCCTATCTTTATTCTTCAGCGCTACCGAATATATATGTATATGACCTTCTTGGGGACGCTTTTAGTCAGTTAAAGGAGATTGCGGAGCTGGGATGAGAGTTAGAGTTGTGGTCAAGAGTAGGGGTGCAAAAGGAACTCTTTCCTGCACTTCTATTTTTCTACCATTCTTTGCTGTTGACATAACTTTCATCACAGCTCTCCATGGTCGTAAGGCAGCAGATATCAATGCGTACATACAAACTTGTTCAGTAGAGATCCAGAATATTGTTATCCGTGTAGGCACTAACACTATCCATGATGACTGTACCATTGCATTATGTCCAAATGATTCCACTGCATCATCAAAAATAAGTATCCAATCAACAAAAAACAATCGTACATAGAAGAAATGATACTACTATCAACAAGACCATGGATATTTTTATTAAGTTGAAGAATATTAGCGGAAATAATATATAAATGTCATCTGATATGTCAACGTCTAACACTCACTTTATCCCATTAGCAACTTTCATTTTTTTTCATAGTAGTAGTTATCACAACTAGTAATCTTCATTGATATATTAACTGATAGAAACATTGTATTTCTAAGAATGCAATATGCAACTCATATATCCAAACTTGCATTTGTATTGAAAGGATAACTTACGACAGTGCATTGTTAAAGGCGGGTAAAGGCGAAATTTATTTATCTTGTCGGTCTAACAATGCTGCAAGTTACATAGAGAGCGGAGGTCGTCGCGCCACGCATGCTCATATGAACAAAGATGGCGAGTATAGAGTATAAACTGAGACGCTACTAAGCTTTAACTAGCTAGGTAATTCCTTTGGTGATTGGAAGGTATTGAAGGAGTCTCCGGCGGAAATTTAGTGTACGTTGCGCCTTGGTCAAAACTAGAAGAGCGCATTAGATTGTTTATCAACACAAAAGTCGCACAAGCGCGGTGCGATGACCACCGCTCTTTAATCAAAACTCGCGTGCTTATACATGCTAATTTTTATGCCGTATTCATCGCGCAATATAGTAAAATGTTGTATGTCGGGCATGATTTATAGCGATGCACTCGGGTAAGTTGAAAGTTACTTTACTCAAAATAACGCGAATATTTTTAACGTAATAATGTATGAGCCAGTGATTTTAGTTTATAGTGTATGCGCTTCTTTAGTTCGCGTATAGCATGCCGAATTTGTCAGTTATTGTTGAACGTCGTTTCCTACTGTTCACCGGTAATTGCCTATGTAACTATTTGCGTAATGACAGTGAGGAGTTAAACCTTATTGCACTAAACGCAACTCGTTCATTCAAAATGAGGGATGAAGATGGCATTTGACATTTTTTAGACAAAAACCTGAAAAAAATGTGTGAATAGTTTTAGCTGAGCATATGTATATCTGCTAATACGTGAGTGTTCATTGGTTGTCACCATCAATTACAACTAGTTATTTGGATAAACGAATAAACCTTTAGGAATTGTTAAATTCATTTGTGGTGGTGACTTTGTTCAGACAAATTATTATTATAGGCATTTATAAACATACTTGAGATATTTGGTATTATTTATTCACACACATTCTCTGTGTCAGAATTTCTATATAGTATTTTTATTCAGCTATAAACTATAATTGTAATAACACCTCCACCATGAATGTATTAAAGCATTAGCCATGAATTTAGTGCATGCATACATACAGACACGAATATTGGGGAAAAACGTATGAAGAAATGCATTTATCCATTTCCTTTCATGATTGCCTCGTTTCAATTCAGAATATGAAAAAAATCGTTAATATTTAAAATAAATTACAGACTCGACTGATTAAACCACCACCACTACTTCATGATTAAAAATACCTTCCCAATTATATAGGAATACATGTAGGTACTTTATTTATTTTATCTTATATTCAAATTACGTCATTTGAAATCAATACATTAGTCTAATTTCTCTGATTCTATTTTCTAACAATACGAAATAGTTCCAAAAGTTCGTTTGGCAATCCAGGAATGTCTGTGAAATCTACTGTTTCTTTCTTCTGAACATCTCGTGCATATTTCACAAATTGAGACCAATTGGACCACCTATTCTTTATGAACAAATTTGACCCTAGGGAGTAATACAAATGATTTACCATATGTTACTTTTAAGTTGAGCATATTTCACGTTATATACATGCTTTCATAATTGAAGTCTCACCTCCCGAAGTGCATTGGTGCGATAATGTAATTGTTATATCTCTATCCTATAGCGAGAAAAAGATGTAGTTGATGTGGAATAAAAACAAATGAATATTGTATACTGAAAACAAAACTTACTTATACTTATCTCTTGCTCCAACAAAGACAATTTGTATGGATCTTTAATAGTAACATTCAGTTTAGTGGATACTGAGAGCAAACCGTCTTTAAGAGAATTACTGTTATAAACTACTAATCTAGTTTTGTTTAATTCCGCAGCCATGTCCTGAAATTGTAAACAAACATAGTCGTTGTAAATGGGATCAATATAACAACATTCATTCATTAATTTGTTTAATCATTCATTCATTCATTCATTAATTCATTTGTTTTGTCAACGTGATACGATGTCTTTCAGAGAAATATATAAGATAGCTGCTTTCAAAATAGCCAAATTGATAAACGAACATCCCTGACCCAGACCCAATAGGCCGAGATTCTAGTAAGGACGACATAGTAGTGTTCCTTTATCACGTCTTTTGCTGTTTCAAGTACCGACCAACGAAGCGACTCAAAGGCCGAAACTTAAGCGTGACAAATCTCTTTGTCCTCGCCGTCAAAGAGATCGTGATGGTCATTTTCATTTGGAGGAAAGCTGTCGATGTATTTTATACAATTTATTCTTACCATTCCCGTCTTTTTTGATGACACATAAACACAATTGATATTCTTCGATTGTAGGTACTTATACACCAAATTAGTCAAATAGTGAATATTGGTCATTATTAACTTCTTTCCTTTGCATGGTATAGAATCTAAATTAATGTTACCACAGCTGTAACGTACAACAAAGAGAGAAATACAAATGTTAACTATTCTTCTGCATCTAATTATCTAAAAATGATAAAATAATATATCTAATAACATTATTTGTGTATTTGTACTTTAATTTTGATTTTCAATTTTTTTTGTTTGTTTTATTACAATTGTTATAATAAATAATATTATTTTTACCACACGGTATCTGGAATGATGGTGATGTCATCGCGGATGAGCAACCCCTGCACAACAGCCGTGCCCCTCCCCCAGACACCAGCAGCCAATGCAACGTCGCATAACTGAGGAATACGTTGCCGATGGTTTCTGCTAGTATGAGTCGTGTGCATATCGCAAACCCAAACCTCTTTATTACAACTCTGTCTGCATTGACCGATGACATCATCAAAATGATTACATTTTCAATTCACAGATTTACCAATTAAGTCCCCCATATGTGAGGTGTCTATGATGTACTAAACTTGTAGATCATATCCAAGACAAGTGACATAATTGTTTTTCATATTTACTATCTCATGAAACAAAGCAACATTTCATAATAGAAGGTTATTATAATTCAGCATAGTGTGTTAATATTACAATACATAGCTGGAAATCACTATTTACAACATTAATCCTAATCATATTAATTAAGCCAAATCCTATATATATCATATTATTATAGGTTACAACGTGCCGTAATTTTCGGTATTTTACAGGATATTTTCATCTTACCATATTAGAAAATGAAATGCGAATTCCAAATATGGAATGATTACGCGATATAATATAATATAATATAATTTAAAAAATACGAGTGTTGTTTTTTTTCGTTCGTTTTTGTAACACGGAAATATCGCCCGCTTGCTCGCTCGCATTTTAAATTCAGACTACTGAAAATGTTCTGAAATTCACACTGATTTATATTTGTTTTTCCGGCGTTAAAGTTCAAATACTTTTCTTTTCATATGCACGCATATAATTTAGTTCAAAAAGAAAAACTAGGCGAATAAGATATAACGTACACGTTGAATCCGTTTTCTCGCAAATTGAGAAAATACGGTAAACCAGACAATGGTCGATGATTTTAAATACAGATTTTCATATTGATCATCAATATACAAACAACATACAACTACATTTGTTGAGGGAGTCCAGGGAGAAAACGGCTAACACACTTTTTCGAGAGAGAAACGTGAAATTTCCACGGATTTTCGACGTTATTACATGTAAGAGGGGTTTGAGGGCTGCGGAATCCAACAGAGTACACTAAATGAACCAAATAGCAAGCGCTAGAAGTTGGTTTGCTTGACAGGGGATATAATTCTTGCAAGCTTTGTCAATGAAAACATTGGATCTTTTCCAGCGAACGAAATCAGTAACACAGCAGAGCACTTGTATCGATTATAACGGGTATGCATGGCACCAAGTTTCAGTGAAAATCATGGTACTGGAGACGAATTTTCTCATAAACACATCCCTAAAACATATTTTCATAAGAAACCCACCCGTTGAAACAAATTTAAAATTAAGACTGATCCCTTATGTACATAGTACAGTATATTTTATTTGGTACCAAATCACGTAGTGTATACTTATTGAGTACACTAAATGAACCAAATAGCAAGCACTAGAATTTGGTTTGCCAGTACTTGATCCATTTTTACACCATGGCTACACTATTGACATTGGCTATTGTTTCAGCACTTGACCTGACGGATCAATCAATGCACGCTCCCTCTATGAACTGTGATCAGTTGTAAGCAGGATTTTTCATACGAGTATTATTATAGCGATTGAATAAACAATTTGCACTACCGTTCACGCGTGAGCTGAGCGAATCGACCACTTCACGTGAATTTAAAATAATAATTTATGATTGTTTCCCAACTAAGTACTGGACGATATTTATAATAATACCACAGTGTTTCTGTTTATATAAAAAAACAGCTGCAGCTAGCTTAATAATTTCACGCAGAGAGTGCAGAGCTTGACAGAGGATATAATTCTTGCAAGCTTTGTCAATGAATACATTGGATCTGTTCCAGCGAACGAAATCAGTAACACAGCAGAGCACTTGTATCGATTATAACGGGTATGCATGGCACCAAGTTTCAGTGAAAATCATGGTACTGAAGACGAAATTTCTCATAAACACATCCCTAAAACACATTTTCATAAGAAACCCACCCGTTTAAACAAATTTAAAATTAAGACTGATCCCTTATGTACATAGTACAGTATATTTTATTTGGCACCAAATCACGCAGTGTATACTTAATGAGTAGACTACTGACACTATAACACAAACACTAGTTCAAAATCATGGTGAGATGGACCTAACATTTCCCCATTACACACTTAATATCAACACAGCAGAAATACGACACTTTTGATGTCTGCAAATGTCAAACATTAACCAGTCCACCATTGTAAATGTCAATTTCACTCATTGGTAATTTTCCCATAGCCGCCCCACCTCCCTGACCTGCGAAAACAGGTTGGTAAGTCAAGTGGTAATATTCCACGAAAAGTGATACAACGCACCGCCGATAAATAAAAGTTTTCTAGGTACAGTCTAGACAAATTTAGACCCTTTACGTCGAATGCGATAAAATGTGAAGCATTAATTTAAAAGAAAAACGTAAAGATAATGAAAGCTCAATGAAAATGAACTCGTCCGCAACGTCTGGATCGCGTTCAAACGGCTCGTGTGTGTTCACATTCCATAATCCTTTCCGAAAGAAGACGAGACGTTTATGCATGACGCATATATACACACAAAGAAAAACAACATACTATAAACACTGGGTCTTCTTCAACCGAGGCGAGCAGTCTGTCACAAATGGACTTACTGCTCTACACATATTAGTTTGTAGTAATTATCATGAGGGAGAATGAAACTTGCAGCTCTATCTTTGTATGTATGGTCAGTTTTCAGTAAATTAAACCTTTGAAAAATTGGAAAGAATCTGGTGTGATACAAGAATGGAAACTCTGTCATCAGAGTCAGCAAGTATGATTATTCTGTAATTGACTGGGTCAGAACACGTTCAGTTGTGCTTAGATGAATCCAATGAATATCCGTTGTGGCAGAACTCGTGACCAACATGAACAAGAGTTGCCGGACATGATGATACACAAACCGATCAAATAGTAAATACATAAAAGATAATATGGTTGACCTATACACCAAACAAACACATAGCCATAATTATAGCTAAATCTAAATCTGGGTGTACACTCACAATTATACCCAGCTACCCAGTAAATGCACTTCTACCATATTTGTTTAAAGAGGACAGCAGAAATGCTTGACCCTAAAAATATAATCATTTACATTGCCGCGAAAAATCTACCAAGATTGCTGTGCCACACTTCCCTGACAATATACAGTATGTCATGTAAGCGAATTGCAAATATTTAATATGAACAATATGGAAGCATTCATTGATATTAGTGAAACCTGCTTTAACAACATACTAAACCTGCTTTAACAATCTAATACAGTTGTTTTACACAGCAACACTATTTTCTACCTGGAACATTTGTCTAGGTCTTACTCCGATACAGATGATAACTAACCAAGTATCAAGTTGCTCTTAAATGAATTGAATGTAATATTTCAGTTGTCATTGATGTAATGTTACTGTTGAAGCATTTTATGCAACAGATGCAATCAGTCACTCAAGTTTGAATGTAGGCAATTAGAATTACAACAACTTTTGATTTACACAAATTGATTTCTATTATTGACTGGTTGTGAAACATATTCATCCATATTCCGTGTTACATAGAGATAGCTTCCCCATCTGGAGAAGACAATAATATTGGCTAATAATGATTCAAAGAATAAACACTCCCCAATATTATTCGACTTCATTTTGCAACTGCCTGGTTCTTTTTGAATGCAAGAATCTGAATGCTATAACGAACAAATTATTCCATGCCATGAATATCATCTTTCACGTTCTGCTGTATGCTGATGTGAAAAGGATGTTGTAGTAAACAGTTATGAAGATATACATACTACTTCAGATAGTGCCTAGAACATTATTCCACACTATATAACTATTCATTATGATCTAAGTCATTGGTGACAGAACACACTAATTTAACCTTACTTAAATAACATTTGCAAAATTCAGGCAAACTTTTCAAGAAGTCATTTGACGCTAAATTATATTTACGGTCTACTATTACGGATAACATCACGACAATGGACACAATGTGTATGATTGAGTCATATACTGATTTAACACATTTTCAGATGCAACAATTTTCTGACCATGGAGTTAATTTCTGAGAAAAGAAAATGTTCGTCTAGCTTTCTTTGTCAGTA